AAGTTTTGATTATTCACTTGCAACAACAACATTTCTTTAAATAGGAGGTTTTCAATATGTAAATGTTAGAAAAAGTGGATGTGTGTTTTTAATTCCAACATGAGCCTAATGATTCTTTTAATAAGCAGGAAATTATGATTTAATGCTTGATCCTTCACACTAAACAGAGTCACGCAGAACCATGTGTTTGGTAAATAGTCAAGCTTGTGTGCTCTCCATTGGAGGGCTGGTCTGCATAGGCACACAGGGCTTCTGACATTAACAGATTACATTAAATAGATTATTTGATTCTTGATTATGTTTTAAACATTTCTCAATCTGACATTAAAAATGGTTTTCTTACACTATTGACGAACACAAATGGTCAATTTATTCGCATTATTTGGCACCGATAGGCGGAAACATGCCATTTGCCATGAAAGCAGTCAGACGCGTACAGTACTCCCTCGGGATAAAGTGCATCAAAAACGATCCATTGTAAGACAATCATCCCTCGGTTTGAGGATGTTGGTCAGGAAAGGACGCATTTCCTCTCTGTTCTTCAACCCGCCTCATCTGTTGGTCTCGCAGACTCTCAAGGGGCAGGTAATGCGCCCTCAGTGCCAAACGGGCTGCAGTGCGCACTGGCAAATGTTGCGCGCACGTTGTTCCTCCTTGAAGCCGATGTTGTTTATATTGTTTTGGTTGTTTGGATCTCACATGAACGAGAAAAATGTCAGAAGCTATCACCAAACTTCCATGGAGGCAGAAACAATGAAAGGAATCTAAAAATCTCACCCTGCAGATTGAGGTGAGTGGATCTTAATCTCAGTAAAGAGCGTGTTCATCAATTTTCCAGTGTGGAGAAGTGAGCTGTAGCAGTGCTGTTTCACTGTAGGCTTGCATATTATAGACAGGTTCTCACTTCTGTATTTTTCTTTATAAATAATCATCACCAACTGCCAAAGGGTCAACTGTATTTTAACCTCTAAAGCCACTTTTTGGGCGTAACGGGTTCTTGAAATACCAGAAAAATAACAAGGCTGGGATATTCCCAAAACTCGTGTAAATGTTAATTCGACATTTTTTAAGATTTTCAGGCAGTTTAGCAGGTTCTCACTCATATTCCCTCTAAAATGTGAGAGAAGATAAATTAAGTGAATATCTTTTCAAATATTAACAAAAAGATCACTGCAGCAGTTATCAAACTGCGTTCAGTGTATGATAGTCCATAATGTTTTTCCACTCTAAAGAGAATGTGTGTAGTCTTTTGAATAGCAAACACACAGAGCAGTTCTGCTATCAACTAGAAAACAGAGCATTAAGACTTGAATTAATGAAGTCATCAGATGTGGAGTGACAGTAAAAGCTCATAGAGGTTTTTTTCTGTGAAACAGCTCGAGGATCAGTCTCCTGAAGGCATCATCTGCAGTGTGTCTCCATGATGTTTAGCTCATTTTAGCAAGACTTGTCTAATGTTTAAATTAAAAATGTGCTGTATGATTTTATTGTTACAATGGTAGAGATGTTGCATGCTTTAATTCTAGTTTGCGGTGGGACTTTCAGGGGGAAAAGCCCTTAATATTTTAATTATCCTTACATCACTGTACAAGGTTTCAAGGCTATTTTACCATACCATAAATCATTGTTGAACTTCCTTTGTGATGCAAGTTAGATATTTAGTATGTGTCAGTGCAGTCTTAATTGAAATAAATGTTCCCTTGAAATCTACATATAAATTAAAATAAATACTTCCACAGTGTCTCTGCTGTCTGAAGTCACAATACATTTTCATTAAATCCAATGCTTTTCATAAGAAAATAAAAACTGTAAACATTTTCTAAATGATTTACTAAAAACATTTTGCCAGATTAATGCCTGTAAACTAATAGAAAATAGAAAATATAACAATATAACATGTTCATTGCTGACACAGATGTCCGTCTCTTCACAGAGTGACTTATGGGGACTGTTAGCCATGGATCCAGCAGATCAATTAAACACAACTCAAGTGGAAGACTCCCAACTTGAACTGAAACCTTCCAATTGCTGCTCAACTACAGCTGCCATCAATGACGAGAACCTTCTAAAGCTGGACGACAGCACAAAGCTGGTTGGAGTCCAAGTTATTCTCATCCTTGCTTACAGTATAATCATATTGTTTGGACTCATTGGAAACTCCTTAGTCATATATGTTGTCTACAAGTTTAAAAATCTAAGAACGGTCACCAATTTCTTTATAGTAAACTTAGCAGTGGCAGACCTGCTGGTGAACACGCTGTGTTTGCCTTTCACCCTCGTCTACACTCTGTATGGTGAGTGGAAGTTTGGCCAGGTGTTGTGCTTCATGCTGCCCTGTGCTCAAGGCATGGCAGTGCACGTGTCCACCATCACAATGAACGTCATTGCCTTGGACCGCCACAGGAGCATTGTCTACCACATGGAGACCAAGATGTCCAAAGACATGTGCGCTTTGGTCATTGTCATCACGTGGGCTGTTAGCGCCCTGTTGGCCAGTCCACTCGCCATCTTCAGGGAGTACGGGACATTTGACCTTTCACCGGACGAGTCTATTCAGGTGTGTACAGAGAAGTGGCCAGGAAGCAGCATGAACGGAAGCATCTACAGTGTATCAGCACTTCTGGTTCAGTATGGTTTACCTCTGGCCATTAACTCTGTTGCCTACATTCGCATCTGGAATAAGCTGAAGAATCACATGACTTGCGGAAGTCGAAATGACCGCCATCAGCGCAGGAAGAAGACCACTAAGATGCTGCTGGTCATGGTGGTCGTCTTTGCTGTCAGCTGGTTGCCTTTCCATGCGTTTCAGCTAGCTGTTGACATCGACAGCACTGTGTTGTATATGAAGGACTTTAAGCTGCTTTTCACTGTGTTCCATATTGTGGCAATGTGCTCGACGTTTGTCAACCCCATCCTGTATGGGTGGATGAACAACAACTACAGGACGGCATTTTTGTCTGTGTGTAAGTGTTACCAGCCTTTCAGTTTTAGGTCAAGACGCTCCAAAGGCAGAGAGGCGCAAAAAGATGAAGACAGAGTTTGTACAGACTGCAAATCAACAAATGTCTAATTTGCATAGTCGGTTCACTGATAATCATTTGTAGAAATGTGAAGTATGTATTTGGTTGTGTTTAGGACTCTCAAAGTGATGGATGATGAAAATGACATATGGGTTACAATTTATGTTAGAATAAATGTTTTGAAAAGGGCTTCAACTTTGAAGTAAATTACCATTACAGTACTTGCACTGCGACAAAGGTGGGTCGTACTAGCTCTCATTCCAATCAATACTTGTCAACTCTCAGAAGCATTTTTAAATCAAACCATGGTGGATATAGCGTTGTTTAAAATATTTATGATTTCCTATGATTTCCTCTTGATGTATTAAAGTGTTTGAATCTTAAATTTGGCCACAGATAACCCAACCAGCTTTGTTCATTTTTGTGCCCTTCACTTTTATTGTGTGTTATTGGTTTTTGTACTCTCTGAACATTGATGTTTTTCTGCCGCCACAGTCAGATGAGAGATAGTCACGTCTGAGTCACCTTCAGTTATTAGTTTTAACTCTGAGCTTAACAAGCAGCAAGAAGACTTTATTTGATAATGGGGTTTTTACCTCTCAGGCTACATACATACAGCCCGCCCTACATTATTGCTGAAGGTTACTTATCTGACTGTATATAGTCTGAAAGGAATACCTGCAGACACAATGCAGGGATTACAAAAGTTCATATGTAGATGTATATGTATATGTATGTGTATATCTATATCTATAAATATATATATGATTTAACAAAGGTGCAAATACAATATAAGAAGAAAATAAAGATGAATATATTCTTTTTCCGTTGAGGAAAGAATAAAAATACATAACTCTTCTCCTTTTTATCCACCTCTTAATAATTTCCATACAGTCCCTTATGTCCCTACTATGTTATAAAGCCAAACAGATTGTATATTGTTCACAAATGTTACTAACTGACATTCAACTCAATATGATCCACTTTTGTTGCAGTGTTTCTAACTGTGATTGTGCCACTTATGGATAAAAGTCCTTTTCCATGAGGTGTTTACATTATTTCGCTTCTGTGTCAAGCTATCAAGTATAATTCATGTCAGTTTAATTCTGGACAACAGCAGTAAAGAATAATTCAATCACCAAAAACATTATAAAGAACCAGGAAATAAAGTATATATCATACACAATACAAACCACAAAACTAATTTTTTCGTCCAAACATTTACATTATATATTCTCAAAATGTAGGAAAAGTTTTTTCCCTACATATCAAGTAATTTGCTTTGTATTGCTCTCCACTTTCACCACTCTGTATATGCATTAAGATCTCTTATCACTACCAGACCTTGACATCAGCAGAGAACATACAAATACAATTCTTTAGTCTGTGGTCTCTCTATCAACCATAAATCATCTATGGATGGGTGACCAAGATATCTTGTAGTCACTGCATACTTGATATGAATTAGATTCTGGAAACTGTAACTTTCTATCGTTTTACATCTACTCAGTGTTGCACCACAGAAAGAAAATATAACAAAATCATCTGCTAATATAAAATGATTCATTTACAAAGCTGGGCAAGTATTTAGCTACTCCTCTAAGCCTCATTTCATTAAAAGTTTTTCCAGATTGGCTTAATTGAACTCTTTTGAAGCCCTGAAAACATAAATATGTTGAAACTGTGACTATGATACCTGGCAGTGAGTCAGCAGAGAAAAAATAGGCTCATATCTAATAAACCTTTCTAAAATTCATTATAATAATTACTTTGCAACTTGCTAGCAAGTGAATAATGCCTTCATAGTATTTATCCAGATTAATTTTGTTATATTGGGGCACTTTTGAAGCTTGAAGGCCAATGCCTAACTTTTCTATAAAAGTCTCTCACAGCAGTGTGTTGCAGCTCCAAATCCAGACAGGTTTAATATAAAATGCTTTGATTTTACAGTGTTCACAGTGTTGCACATTTTGCAGTGTACATCTCTGCATAAGGTTGTTAGATCAGTTGACCTGGCATACTTGATTATATATCACTATATATCATTGTGATATTGTTACAACCAGTGGTATCATTTAAAGTCATAACAACTGGTAGTATAACTTTTACTAAATGAGATACTGTATATATGATGTATACGTAACCATAAGTAGGACATAATGTTTTTCATACTTGTGTTTTTTTAAGAACAATCACATTTCATATAGCTGGGAAATTAAGTAATAGCTGGAGCTTTTGTAGATATTTGAAAAAAATCAATGTGAAATCAATGTTGAGGAAACTCTACTGTCTAATGAAATGTTACATAAGTAAAAAATATGCTGCTGTTCACAATCAGGAATTTATTGTATTTATCAGAGGACTTAATTTAATTAATCAAGCCAGAATGCATCAGAGTCCAGAGTCCACTGTGTACTCTTAAAGGCATCTTGAATTCATATATATATATTTTCTCATGTGGTGTGTTTGCTAGTGACATCGTACAGTGCCTAAGCTGTTATGCTAATGGTGTGATTAATAATGGCAAATAATACATTGCAATTAATGAGATGCTATCAAATGAACTAACTAAACTGAACTACAAATAAGCAACAAATCCACATTAAGATGCATGAAGTAATGTCTAAGCTTACTAATGTGCAGCTTTGATATATTACAGCCAAGTGCTTAAAAATATTAAACATTGATTGGGTTCTGACTATAAAATTATAGCATTAATTGAAAAATGATGATGCCACCTCTTCAATGTTAGTCCTTATGTGGATCTCTTTGACACACTAGACTGTTAATTTTGGCTGTTGAAAATGATATTTGTGGGTTTAAATGAGGGGTCAATGATAACCGGATTCACAAATGGACTGGGAAACTGGTGCAGCTTTGTGTTGATTTTCAGTGGGATCTAGTAATTTGATACAGTGTTATTGTAGTAAAAGTGTTGCTAAATAGACATAGACATGAATATAACATTCATAGGTATGTTTTCATTCATGTATAATCACCTCAAAATACGAAATTGTGTTTTCTTTACTTCAGAATGATCCGTTTTATCTAGAGAAATTGCAGGTCCTCTTCTGCGGAGTGCGCCATGTTGAATCAACATGTTTCTACAGTAGCCCAAAAGGGACAAACCAACCACTGACTCTAGATAGGACCTTTCAACTTATAGCATAGTTTCTACACATTTGGAAGGCGAGGTTGGTTGCACGCTGCAACTTCATCTCTGGACTAAATCCTGCACACTGGTCTTTTATAGGACACATTGGTGGCGAACTTTACTGCATGCTGAAATATACAAATAAATAAATAAATATCACTTACAAGTGAATTCATGACATGTGACATGGGGAAACGTGTACATACTACTAACTTTCTGCCTTCACATATAGGCTATTTGGGTTTTATGGGGTCTGAGCTACAGTCACAGAGGGATACAGATGTTTATGTGTGTTTGCATTATGGGTTCAGTAGGAAACTGAAATAGGCATTCTTATTAGGCAGTCAAGAGGAGTTCCTCCCCCTCCCGACTTGTCTTTGTTTGCAGCAAGCATCCTAATTACCACTATTTGCTTTTACAGTGATTACACTGGTGCTCAGGTTTTGAAGAGCCCTTCCTGTTGACCAGGTCCACACTGATTTACTTTGTGCGTACGTGAGGACCTGAGGGACTGGGATATTAGGTCTACATGTCCATTTTTAGTAAGCTATTCATGGATGTATTCAGCACTAAATCAATAATTGTTTCTTCAACTGTCCAATATTATTGAGCAGTTGCTGCTGCTACAAAGTGTGTCCTTAGGAGGAGGGCACTTCCTAATGAAGTAAAATGAACAATAGCCTTAAAACTAATTAAATTCCTTCTTGTTTGCTGATGGTCTTGTCTTTTGGCTTTCATAGGAGAAAGCACTTACGTCACTCCCCCTGTCTCTGCCTTCCATTTACATGTATTAATATTTGATTAATGTCATCTTGTCTGCGGACTGAGTATCGATTTTGTCAATTAATTGTACTTCTATTGTGAAATTATTAAGTGGAGCCGGTAGTGAAACACAGTGTGACAGCATATTCATCAGAGATGGCTCACTTAAAGTACATACATATAGTCTTTTTGGTTAATAGGTGACTCATGGGGCTCTTTAGCCACTTAAGTCCATTTAAGTGGGATGTTGTTACTATACATAATATTTATAGGGGACACTAATGCCTTAAAGATTGGTAGTATTCATCAATTATTCCATTTGGCAGAAAATTCACTGCCCAACTTTTCAAATTTGTGTGCTTGTCATATTATTTACAGCTGTAAATATGAGATTTTAAAGCTGCATTATTTTTTGGAAATAACTGTAAAACAAGCAGACACACACACACACATACATACACAGCCCTGATTTAATATTGCATTATAAAATTGTTACTGTAGCTAACATGTTAGCTACAGTTACAGTTAGGGACATGGAACAATATCAGCATTCATTTTGTATCTTTTTTTTTTGCCACCTGAAGAATGTGGTGGAGTCCAGCTCTTGAGAAACATATATCTGGGTCTTGCTAACTATCTTCCAGCTTCTGAGAGACAAGCATAGAATGTATGAACCAACAATTAAAATGTGATCACTTTGCAGGCTCTGGTAACTTGACTCACCACCACATAGAGTTAAACATAGTACATACAGAATACCTGGTACAGACTGTATTCCTAATCTATAAAACATACAGCTAGTATTTGTTTGACTACAGTCTTTCCTGTTGTTAATGTTTTCTGTTGTTGTGTGTGTGTTTGTCAAAGAGCAAAAAAAAAAAAAGATACTTTAGCTCCCCCCGCTGTCTCAACAGGGTCTCACTACAACAACAGCAGTCACTACTCTCAATATGCAGTACGTGCAATGGACTGAATCATAAGTGCAAGGCTATTACCTGCACTGGACTGTTTTAGGGGTTATAACCAGTAAAAGGCTGATGTTTTTTAACACTGCATAATCACATCATAGCAAAAAAATGCAGATGCTTGTTTGCTTACACTGATACCAAGGTTTGGTAATGACTGCACCTTAACATCAAATGAAAATATTCTGGTTTTATGTCTAATTTACCTCAGTTTGAGCCTGACATACTAGAAACGGGAATGTTGACTGGAATTTCAAATATAGTTCTGTAGTTTTGACACAACATGAGCAAGTAATGATGAACCCTCTGCTGTGCTTTATTGACAGCAGACTCAGTTGTGTAACTGTCTGTAGAGGCAGAGGCAGGAGTAGAAATATTTTAATCTCTCAAATAACATTTTTATCCCCACTGTCATTTCTTTCTACACTTTTTAATTGAAGCGTGTCCTCTTGTGGCGAGTGACCCTAACCCTAATCCAGGGGGAATAAAATCATATCCTCCCCCACAGAAGCCTTTGTATATAATGGCCTGCTGCCTTTTGCTAACAACAACAGGATCAATACTGTTGTTTTATTACATCACTTTGTATTGTCTTTTGTCCTTTTCTTGTTCCCATTTCCAGACACTTGGCTCTGGTCTACAGCTCTGCTCAGCAGCAGTCAAATAAATCACTGTAGGCGGTCTCACAGGGTGGCTGCTGGTCTCTGCTGATGTCTTTTACTTAAAAAGAACAGATGATGAAGACCAGGCAATGCCACAAACACCAGATGTAACTAGATGTGCTCCCTCTCACTGTTGGCATGTTGAATGTCAGGAGGAATTTAAGTTATCATTAGAGAGTTTATTGGCTAAAATGTGAGACTGGACATTGGTTAAAGCAGAGGAGAAATGTTCTGCTTTTAATTGATGGATTTTTCCCATCCTGACAGACATATTCTAAAGTTCACAGATGACAGATCACACTCGTCATAGTCGGCCTGTGACAGGGCACCCATTCTGCTCATGGTCCAGTGGTTGATTATTCTGTTCAGTGGTGCGATAAGCCTCCTATTGAGACAGTCATTAAAGGTAAAGGTCTGTCACACCTGGTGTGAGGATAACCGGAATAGGACTAAATACAGACAGCAGCAGGCAGACAGGATCAATTCAGTGATTTATTTAAAAAAAATAAAGTTCAGGTTTTCAAGTCCATTACAGGTGGATGGTAAAATGAGCAGGTCCGGCAGGCAAAATCACGTAACAGGATTCCAGGTTAAAAAAAAAAAAGATGGATGAAAGTACATGGCCTGGGAGAAATGAGCAGGTTCTGGAGCAAGCG